ATATTTCTCCTGTTTTGGCTTCCTGTTAAATCCAGAATTCAAAATCCTGCTCCTCACATACAACCTGATGAATTACGTAATCAACTAAAAAATGCTCTAAGTTCCCTCCAAGGTGGTCCAGGTGAGGAAGACCAATGTAACCTAGAACAGAGAAAGGGTGGAAAGGGAATAAATAACTCACCTGTGCTCTGTTTAAAAAGAAACATCCTTCTTTCAGTTTTGTTTCACGTGCTGTTGTTAAGTCACTTTAGGACCACACCCAGTAAATATTGTATAGCCTAAAGTGACTTAAAAACAGCACGTGAAACAAAACTGAAAGAAGGATGTTTGAGAGTGGTTTGAAATGAAGTTTATTAAAGTGGAATTCAAAAATGGATTTACAAGTGCAGAATTCTTTATTTTGATGCGCGTGGCTCTTGACTCCACAGTCAGTGTGTGAATTAGTTATTACCATTGTGTCTCCATAAAACATTTAGAACAAACAGAGGGTGGAAGGGAATAAATAACTGTTTGTTTTGTTGCTTAACAATAAGCTACCTGTCATGTCGTTGGACCTGCTGTAAATCCATGTTTAACTTTTTCTGTTGCAGATTTCTTCGTCTTTCACTTTCAGGCAGACTGGATGGTGTCGCTTCAGAGTGGCAGACTCAGCTGAAAGTTTCATTGTTGTACTTTCCCCAAGAGGGCACACAGATTTACGTTTATACTGCCTTTGTTGTTGTTGTTGTTGTTGTTTTTTTTACAAAAAATGAAGTTTTTTTGATTGATAACTTTGTCCTGTTGTTGGCAGACCAGGCGTGTGATCGGTCATATGATGTGTAGACTGCTTCTGGGAAACCCTGGGCCAGTGTATAGAGCTGATAACAATGGTCAGTGATCATTTTATTGTCCCCAATGGGAAATTGATTTGCAGCATGTTTACTCATCAAATAACTCAGACATTTGAAAAAAAAACAAACAAACAGAACAGCCCAAGTTTTATCAAGAGCTACAAGAAAGTCCCATCCTCTAGTTCACAGTGATCGGTCGCGTCACTGGAGGGGACGAAGCCGCTGATGTCATGGTGTGAGGACAACATCTTCACCCTCAACACTGACAAGACAAAGAAGATGATAGTGGACACGAGGAAGAAGAGGAGGCCTCACCAGCTGCTGTTTATCCGGGGCCTTGAAGTGCAGAGGGTGAGCAGCTTTAGGTACCTGGGCGTCTACATCAGTGAGGACCTCACCTGGACACTGAACACCACACAGCTGGTCAAGAAGGCTCAGCAGCGGCTGTATTTCCTGAGGAGGCTGAGGAAATTTGGTATGTCGGCCAAGATCCTCAGCAGTTTAAAAAAAGCAAACCCATGCCTCCTAAAAAGAGCAAGATCCCCTACAATCCCCCTTTTGTTTTTTGGGGGCTATTTTATGTCCTCTTTGCTATTAAAAAAAATCTTTATAGGCAATTTTTCCCTTTTTGTGTTGTTTTGCTTGGATTTTTGTACATCTTTGTTGCTTTTTTATGATTTTACATTTTTTAAGATCATTATATTTTTTAGTTTTGTCATCTCTGTGGTGCTCACGTCTCCAACTATTTTAATTTTATGCATTTTTATAAACATTTTGTGTTACCAACTTATACAGTGTCTGACTAGATAGAAATTTATTGTAAGCTGGTGTCACAGCAAAGTGAACACTCACCCACAATCCATCATGTACAGCTGTTCATCTGCTTGTTAGCAAAACTGTCTAATCAGCCAATCACTTGGGAGCATTCAGTGCATTTAGGCACTTTACTGTTAATGAATATATGAACGTTTACCTTTTTGAATAAAGTATGAAAAGTCTTTTTCCTTCCCACTGTCACCAAGTCCTGCTTCACTGATGGGTCTTCTCACTAAGATAGTAGGCTCTACCTTACACTAAAAATGCTTTAATATGAATAAATATTGAACTGATGTTACCGAGATAACAATATCCAGTTTGAAAGAGGAGACAGGGAGGCAAAGTTGACAATAGAATAAAGGTTTTTATTAAAAAATAAACAAAAAAGACACACAAGCCTGTATTTTACCCCAAAAGAAAGAAACACACAAAACAAAATAAGTGTCGTTCAAAGGCTACCAAGCTCAGTCTTTATGACCAGCACGACCACGACCACCACGACCACGGCCAGCACCACCACGGCCAGCACGACCACCACGGCCAGCACCACCACGACCAGCACCACCACGGCCAGAACCATCACAACCGCCTTCACTATCAGAATTGCTGTCTGGACTACAATGACACATACAAAACTCAATGTCTGTTTTTTTTTTACATCAAAATATATAAAACGCTTCCAAATATGCAAAATACAACAATAACTGCTTGTGGAATTTACCTGTAGTGCATCCATGCACACCATGCATCATAATCATCATCATAATCATAATCATCATCATGTGAGTAGGGATTATGCTGTGGGAGGTCTGGGAGTGAGTAAGTTACCTTGAATCAGCTCGAGGATCCCTGACAGGTTTTGGTTTGATGGTGTCAATGATTGTGATTCGCTCGGGATCCCAGACACAATTCTCCTCCAGGCCGCTCTTCACCATCCCACAGTTGGGCGGCACCCAGGCGGTGTCGTATCCGTGGTCATGCCAGGTCTTCTGAAGTGGGTGGTTCTGACGATTGATGGCCTTCACCTTTCCCACGTTGACCCTAACCTTAATGACAACCCTGTCATCCTCAGGGTGATCGATGGGATAGCGACTCGCTTTCTCCAGGTCTCTGCTGAGGTAAACGCCCCGACCGAGCATCCCGCCTGAAGACCGACGAAAACCTGAAGCCAAGATCGATCGAGCGTTCGCACTGGTAGTGCCGTGGTACATGACATAGATTTTATCATCTTCTGGTCCTGGTCCTTCCACTCGAACTACCCCAGAAGGAAGATTGTTATTTTCAGCCCACTTAATATTCATTTTTTATTTTCTGATATCGGTGTCAGTGTCCCTGCAGGAAGAAGAATTATTATGATGAGGACATCATCAAATTAAGACAAAAACAGGGTAAGGGTTACCGTTCAAAAAGGCTTATTATTATTATTATTATATGTCAAGTAATTTAAAGGTGTGTCCAGAAAAGCAATTTGAATTTACTTTAAATTCATTTTTAAGTAAAGTTAATATTCAATAATTTCCAGTCCAAACATATGGAATAAAAATCCACATATACAATAATATACTAAGAAAAAAAACTGGAAAACATGAATCTTAAAAAGACAGAGACAAAAACACTTGATTCATTTCAGTTTGGCTTTATGATGTCAACATAAAGCCAACAGAAAATAATGATAAAATTTATAATAACAATAATAATAAAATGCAAATCTCAATAAATCCAACCACTGTCCCCCCAATTTTAAAATATCATAAGATGAATATATTCTATATATTATTTAACACAGTTGGGTAGATACCAATACTTCTATTTATGGCTGGAAGTATTGATATCTTAATGCAGATAAAGATGAGACCTAAGTGGAGCCTCACTGGAGGCCAAGGCCTGCTTAGACACCAGGTTTCTGAGGGTTATTCACAGAACGTACAATAACAGTTAAATCAGAATTTAGAAGCAGAAAAAATAGTGGTCATCTAGACCTTTATGTCTTTAAGACAGGCCTGGGTATGTCATATGTATTATTGTAATAAGCAGCACCTATGGAAAGTATGTATAAAATAAAAAGCACTGGTCCCAACCCAAGAACCACGTGCAACTCTGTGACTGAGTTTTGTGGGTGAAGAAGACAGACAAGAATATTTACATGAAAAATTACTAGAATCTACTAGAACCTATTAGAAATGATCCAAACAGGTGCATTGCATTTCTTCAGTACCAACACCCACAGTACAAAGTACTTGACTGTCTGCAGAAGAATATTATGGTCACTGGTACTGAACGCTGCCTAGGACAGGTCCAGAGAGTGCGCTGTCAGAGGCTTTCAGAGGGTCATTGGTAACCTTCACTAATGTTGTTTCTGTGCTCTGATAATCTCTAAATAATGACTGAAACTCTAGAAATAAACAATTCATCTGAAAGAGTCACAAACTGATTAGTCAATAAGCAGCTAACTGGACTTTAATTAGCACTTTATGTACACAGAAGTATCTGTGAAAATCTAGAAAAAGAAAAGTGTATTAGCTGAGTTCACGTACCTCTCTCTCCAGGTTCACCCAAAAGTGCAGTCTGTGTCTCAGTCTGCTTCGTTTAAATAACAATGTTCAGCCTTCAGGAGGAAGTACCATCAATAGAAATCCTTCTATCAGCTGTTTCACATTCTACACATTTTTACGTCCTTCACTTTAGATTGTAGATGATGTTATTTATTGGGAGTGGTCTGTACAGGAGTTATCATAGGTTTCAGTCCTGAGAACCAACTGCACACCACCCAGGGCCTATCAGACAAAACGGGCTTACGAGAACTTTCTTTTCCTCCATGAAAGATTTATGATCAGCACAAATTTGCCTTTTCAAAATGTATATTTTCCTATAGATCTGTAAGACGAATTACAGGCAGTCAGAACTATCAGAAGGAAATGTGCAAACGGGAATCACCTGTCCAACTACATTCCTACCAGTATTAAAGTTTCCTCTGCTGTGTCCTCTCTTACATTTCTCATCACATAAAACATCTTATGGGAATATGGCTGGCATACTGTCAGGCCTGGACTGTACACGACCACAGTGGATTTTAAATCCAGTCAAGATTTTTAGAAATCAAGATCTGAGTAAAATTAAAGTGCACGCCTTCAGCTTTAATTCAAGGAGGTTAACAGAAGTATCGTATTAACTGCTTAGGAATGACAGTTATCTTTATACACAGTCCCCCTTTTTTAGAGGCCCAAAACTAGTAGATAGTGATGGAGGAGCAGTTTCACTGCCAGGTTAGGCCTGCTCCATCATGACAAAGTAAATGACTAAAAGATCTGGAGTTCATTCCAAGTGTTTCTCTTTGAACCTCGTATTCAGAGTTCTAGTGAACAGCTTCCAAATGCGAGGTCGTCACTAAGCTGAAAGAACAAAAATAGAGAGCAGAGAAATAGAAAAACTTTAGGGTTTACAAGACGGTGCAAACGACTGGCTGTACTCAGGAACAGGAAGTCCAGAATCAGTCAGAAAACATCTAAAAGAGAAATAATACTTAAACAGATGGAACCAAGATGAATTTGTACCAAACTGATGGGAAGAGAAAAGTATGGAGAAAGACAGAAGCATGCACATCATCCATCAAACATGGTGAAAGCAACGTTAGGGCAGGAGCTTGTAGGCCTGCCAGTAGAACGAGGTCATTATTGTGATGGTTGATCGCGGCAGCAGGATGAACTGTGATGTGACAAATGCTGTGAAACTGATCAGGCAGAACTTCACAGTGTAAGTGGATAATAACCCACAGCAAACTGCAAAAGTAACCTCGAGGCAAAGACATGTTTCAGAGCAAAGGCTCTGTTTCTTCTTGAAGGTGACGAACACTAGGGAGCAGGAGACGCAGATCTAAAGGGAGGACGAGGACTAAAAATCATCGGCCCGTTGTTTTGTTTCTCAGGAACACAGCCACCTGTTAGCTTGTTCAACCGGTTTTTAATCCAAGTTTCACTTTTGTTTCAGCTCTTGTACATTTTCTTGTAAGTCACACGTCGCGGTATTCACGAGGTGCGGTTAGCAGAACAGCAGGTCCCACATCCATGTTTTTGACAGGAGACCACAAAGATATATAGGTGTGGCGGGGCGTGGCCTGTGGTGCCATGCAGGACGCACCTGCACGGCATCCG